ACCCTTTCTACAGTGGAAGCTCAGGGAGGGCAAAAGGCCGCTGTCGTTTCCCTCTGCTCCTTCTGCACCCAGTGAGTGCTCGGCCCATCATGGCCGCTCACCACCACGCCTAGCTAATTTTTGTGTTTTTAATAGAGACGAGGTTTCACCATGTTGGCCAGGCTGGTCTAGCACAAAGATGGGGTGGGTTTAGCCTGAGAGCTGGGAGACCAAACTTCTGTCCCAGTTTGCCTCTACTGGCTGTGTGAACTTGGCCAAGAATGATTGTGTTGAAGTCAAAATAAAAATATACAGATAAATTTTTATTTTTATTTTTTATTTGTACAAATTTGTGGGGTGTAAGTGACATTTTGTTATGTGTATATAGTGCATAGTGATCCAGTCAGGGCATTTAGGGTGTCTATCACCTGAATACAGTACATTTTTGTTAACTATAGTCACCCTACTCTGCTGTCAAACATTGAATTTATTCCTTCTTACTGTATGCTTGTACCCTTTAACCCACTTTTGTTCATCCTCCCTGCTCCCACACTCACCCTTCCCAGTCTCTGTGATTTGTTTTTCCCATTTTTCCACTCTCTTCCTCCATGTGATCAAATTTTTAGCTCCCACAAATAAGTGAGAACATGCGATATTTGTCTTTTTGTGCCTGCTTATTACACTTAAGATAATGACCTCCGGTTCCATCCATGCTGTTGCAAATGAAAAGAGAATTTTTTTTTTTTTTTTTTAGACAGAGTTTCACTCTGTCACCCAGTCTGGAGTGCAGTGGTGTGATCTCAGCTCACTGCAACCTCAGGCTCCTGGGTTCAAGTGATCCTCGTGCCTCAGCCACCTAAGTAGCTGGGATTACAGGTGCATGCCACCACGCCTAGCTAATTTTTGTGTTTTTAATAGAGACGAGGTTTCACCATGTTGGCCAGGCTGGTCTCAAACTCTTGACCTCAAGTAATCTGCCTGCCTCAGACTCCCAAAGTACTGGGATTACAGGCGTGAGCCACCATGCCCAGCCTGAAAAGAATTTTAAAATATAATGTTTTATTGGGATATAAGAATTGTAATTTGTGACACACATATATATATATATAGAGAGAGAGAGTGTTGATATGTTTGAAGAATAAAGAGAAAGTTGGCAGTTTTGTAATAAAAAGGAGAAATGTTAGGGGTGTTTTACAAGAAAATGTATTAGTATTAGCAAGATTTTGGAGAGTTGGCAAGTTATGATAGGTGAGTGACAGTTGTGGGTAAAGCTAGTTTTAGAGTCGTTTTAGTAGTTATTAGATAAAACTGGTTTTAGTTGTAGTAGACATTTTTAGTAGTCGGACTTGTAGAGAATTATATTTTTGGAGTAATGTTACATGCCCGGAGTGCTTTTTCTTCTTGGCTTCTCAGCTCTGTTTTAGTTGGGTGTAAAAACAATAATCCAATTTGCATGATCACCTTTCACAACAGTATTCTTTACCTATTTCTGCTGTCACTCCACACAATCAGAATTTAACTCCTCATCCATTGCGGTCTTTTCTGTAATATCTATGGAGAGAAAGCTTTTTACTGTTGTTCCCTAACCTCTTTGGAAATCTGGTAGAAGTTTTGAATTTTGTCCTTGGAAAAATGTACACACACACATCCAGTTTTGTGTACAATTTTAGGATGTTCAGGAAACTTTAGAAGCCTGTTAGCCTTTCGGGGTCCACAGACCCTCACTGTGAACCCTTTCTACAGTGGAAGCTCAGGGAGGGCAAAAGGCCGCTGTCGTTTCCCTCTGCTCCTTCTGCACCCAGTGAGTGCTCGGCCCATCATGGCCACTCAGTAAATGACTGTCGCTTTTGTTGAAGGGCCCGAGTGCTGGATCGTGGCCTCCCGCAAGGCTGGCCTCTCCTCCCGAGTGGCACCAGGTGCTCAGATGACCTGGAGCAGCCCAGTGCTCTGGTGAACCAGCGCGACCGGAGGCCCAGTGTTTCGGGGTTGTCCCAGATTGTTACGCAGCGCGTTTGTGCAAGAGCAGGTCTGGAGTGAGGGCTGCTGATTCTAAATCCCACGCCCTTCGTGGGGTTTTCTAGGCAGGCAGGGAAAGCGTCCAGATCTCCACACCCCCAGGAGTTGGCCTGTCTTTCTTCCATCACTAAATACTCTATCCCCTGTGGGCACAGCAGCGGGACAGTTTGGCTGAGATCTCCAGCTCTCTCGCCAAAGCCCCTGCTCCTCCGCTGCTGTCGGTGAGGTCAGCCCGGCTGCTCCCCCGCAGGCAGCTGTCCCCAGTGCCCTGGAAGGGCTCCAGGTGGCAGTCTCACTGCAGAATCCTCCTAGCTGTGCTCGCTGCCCGGTGCCTTCGCAGACAGCCCGCTTCGCACCAGCCCCGGGAGGGCTCTGAGGCAGGGTTGCAGGTCGCGGGGTGGCGAGTGCAGGGAGCATTGCAGGGCCATGCCTTTCTCTTCCTGAAGCCCCCACGATTGTGCAATGGACCGCACATCCCTCTACTGTGTTCTACGATGATTCTCAAGAGCACGCAGGCAGTTGACGGTGACGCTGTGTGTGCGCTTCCTCCCACGCAGGTGCTGGGGACATGGGCAGCAAACCGTCCACGCCAGGCGGTGACCCTACAGCGCAGTCCCCGAGGACGGAAGGCATTCGCGCCGCGTACAGGCAGGGAGACCGTGGCGGCGCCCGGGACCTGCTCAAGGAGGCCTGCGACCAGTGCACGTCCCAGCTGGAAAAGGTAGGGGGAGTGCCTGCCCCTGCGGCCACCAATGCAGTCCTGGGCTGGAGAAAGGTGACCTCTCAGATGATTTTCTCGTTCTTGTCATAACTGTAATGAGCATTCTTACTGTGTTCCGGAAATGCCTCATTTTGCATATAAACTTGTGGGCGCCTTTCCTTTCCAATTGACTTCTCAGTCTGCTATCACCTAAGCAGGCCCCTGCCACCTTTTCATGGGAGGGCTTTGAGGGACAGGGGTGGGGTCACTTAAATGTAAAGAACAAAATGCCACCCAAGACTTAACCTACTGTATTCTTTTACGCTTTTTGTCATTATAAAAAGTAGCACATGTTGGAAAAATAAAATGTAGAAAATACATAAAAGTAGGAAAAATGGGACAAAAAATTAACCAAATTTCTAATACACCCTAAAACCCACTTAACGGTTTGGCTGTATTTTCTTCCAGCCTGCCCATCTGAGCATACATTGTTGTTGTTGTTGTTGTTGTTGTTGTTGTTGTTGTTTCTAATATAGATGCCACCAGATTGCATATATGGTTATGCAGCTGCTGCTTGTACTTTTATAATATTATTTTAATAATTTTCCAGATGATTAAAAATTCCTTATAGGCGTCTCCTTCAGTGGATACATGACATTCCATCTACAGGGAATGTGTTCACCCGGCTATTTATCTTGGTTGGATATGTGGATTGCTTCTCATTTCTTACTAATATAAATGATGCTCTATTGAATGTTTTTGCCGAATTCTTTTCTTATTGTAATGTTATTTTCTTAGCATAGATGTGCGGGGATTGAGAATGTGGATATGAGGACTTTTAAAGTTTTGGAGTACATGCCAAGCTGTTTTCCAAAAATCTTCTACAGATTAACCCTGCCAGCAACAATTGGAGTGGGCCCTTACCACGTTTTTTGCCCTTGTGGGAGATTCTTATTGGTTATTATCATGAAAATACCTTAAGGATGTTTTATTTGCATTACTTTGATTAGGACAGGTTTAACATGTCTGCATGTAATTGATAGTTAGAATTCATTCAATTCCTAAAACTCCAACCTGTTCTCAGAAGTGTAAGAGATTGGGAGAGGGGCAGTACAGCATGCTTGGGAATTGTTAAGCAGAAGGAAGGCATTTGAAATCCCTCTGATTAGGAATTCATGGTGGATATAGCAAAGGACCATTTTTCTGCACAGGGAGAGCTGCGCTGTGCACAGGAGCAGGTCAGAGCTGTGGGCTCTTCGGGTGGACACCAGTGGCCTCAAGCAGGGAAGTGCTGTGCAGCAAACACAGCCTGGCATCCCTGCCAAGTGGCCAAGCAGCCAGAGATAGTGGCTCATTTCAGAGCTGTGCAGATTCAGGGATGTGGCAGCAGCAGGAGATGCTGATGGGGGAAGATGATCATGGAGGGGCCCAAGAGCCAAGGGGGATGTGATTTCATCCTGAGCGTGGAAAAGCTGTTAAAGAGAGTGGCATCATAATTTGGGAAAGGGCACTCTGGCCAATATTTGAATAAAGGAAAACAGAGTCCTGGGTGTGGGTCTCTTCTCTGTAGCATCATGGACAGTGGCAACTCAAAATCGAAAAGGTTCTTAGAAAGCTGCCCCTTCGCTGAATACAGCACTGATGAAATTCCAGCTGATTGGACTTTAAGAAGACAGTGAGGAAAAGGATGGATACATCTGTGTTTTCATAAAAATGTAAAATTATAGTTCCAAAAAATACCATAATTAAGAGTCAAGGATTGATGCAAAAGGAGAAGGTATATGGCTAATATCCTTCATTGACAAAGAGCTTTTATAAGTCAATATGAAATAATAATATAATTTTCAAAAGGACAACAGGACATGGAAGCAGCAAAATAAAGGTAAAGAAAGTAGAAGGCATGAAACTGTAAAAATAATTTGAAAGTTTTGAAATAGAAAGCAAAGTAGAAAGAAGTAGAAATGACCACCAAATCAAAAATTGGTTCTTTGAAGAGATTAATAAAATGGAAAATCTCTGGTGAGAGTAAACGATGAAAAAGAAGAAATAGATAAATCAGGAATATAAAAGAGACCTTCACGACAGTTTATACAAGCATTAAAAACATAATAACAGAATGTATTATGAGCAAGTTTATGTTAAAACACTCAAAAATTTAGATGAAATGAACAAATAAAAATGAAAATTTAACTTTAAAAAGAAACAGAAAGCATGAATAGTCTTTCAACCATTAAGGAAATAAATCCATCATGTAAAACCTTCTGACAAAACAAATTCTAGGTCTACATGGTTTTACTGGTGTGTTCTACCAAATAATAAAATCACTTGTCCAGAAAATAGAAAAAGAGGGTGCACTCCCCTCCCCTGTTCCTTTGATGAAGCTAATACAACCTCAATACCAAGAGTAGGTGAGAACAGTACCTGGAATGAAAATGACTAAGGATATGAATAGGCAAATAGATACACACACACCTGAACAATATTCAGATGGATGGTACACATATGTAAAGTTATTCAACTTTGTTAAAGCTTATAGAAAGGTAAATTAAACAAAAATGAAACAACATTTTTAAGTTAATCAGATTGACACCTTAAAGTTTGATAAAAATCAGAAGGAAGGCTATGGGAACTTACACACCTTTATTCAATGCTACTAGGAATATACTAGGAATATGTGCAGCCTCTTTGGAAGGCCATCTGAAAATGCTTATCAGATTTTCAAATTTCATCATATTTGACCCAGCAAAACTACTGCTAGGAACTTACCTCTACAGATTTACTTGAAGAAAAAATTACCAAGTTGTATGTGAAAGGATGTTCACTCAAGTTGTGTTTAAGATAGCACAACCTTGAAAACCGCCTAACTGTTCCATCCACAGGAGAAGGCTGCTACAGAAATCTCAGTCTGTCCAGGTCCTAGAATACCACACAGCACTCCAAAAGGACAAAATAATCTCCAGCAGCTGTTTTGAAAGAACTCCAGTGTAACTTAATGTAATAAGTGCAGAACTTCTGCTTCCGGGAAGATGGAGGGAACATGGAGGTTGTTTACTTTGCCCTCTTCTTCTCACTAAGTGCATTAAAGCTCTAGACGTTACATGTAAAACAAACGTAGGATTCTGAAAGGTGGAGAAAAGAAGGCAGACTAGCTGGTGGTCTCAGTACTCAAGGAAATCACAGTAGTACGTTTTTGGGTTTTATTTTTATCTCATACGTCCCAAACCAGATACTGAGGAAGTTGGCAATCCAGAAACACAAACTGGCACAGAGAGAAAAAAAAAAAAAAATCCAAGGAAAGCCTGCTCTCTCTAACCAAAGCACCAGGAAAGGCACAGCAAAGCCAGGCAGGAAACTTGTAGGCAATCACCAAACCCCCTTCGGCCAAACACCGCAGAAATATACTTGCAGACGGGCCCTACCTCTCACCAGCAAAGGCCAGGTGGAGAGCCTAGAGTTCCACCCTTGCCAGGCTGTAACAGGCACCTCAATCATCCCCACCCCAGGGTGTCAGAGAAGGCTGTGAGGAGCTGGGGTGCTAATCCCCACCAGGTGATGACAACATCCCACCCAGCCTGGCAGTAATGAGACATGCGTTCCCCATCTAACTAGGTTAGAATTGAAGCAGGCCTGGAGGAGAATCTCAAGTCCCAACTCTGCCCAGCAATAACAAGGAGCCCCTGCTTACTGGTGGTCAACTGATTATAAGTATAGCCCCCAGATTTCCACCCCACCAGGCAGCATTGAGGGGGCATCCCTGTTTACCCACCAGAGCGGCATCAGAGGAGGCCTGCCAAAACACAAGATTGAAGTGAGATCCAGAGTCTTAAAACATAATGCCCCAAATATCCAGGCCATAAAAAAAATTACTTATAATTACCAAGAACCAGAAAGATCGCAAACTCACTGAGACAAGATGACCAAGAGAGGCCAGGAGCAGGATGACTCCAACGTTAGAATTATCTAACAAGGATTTTAAGGTAGTCATCATAAAAATGCTTCTGTGGGCAATTATAAATATACTTGAAACAAATGGAATAATAGAAAGTTTCAGCAAAGAAATAAAAGACACGAGGAGAGCCAAATGAAAATTTTAGAACTTAAAAGTACAATACCTGAAATTAAAAAAAAACAAAAACAAAAACAAAACAAACAAAAAAAAACTCAATGAATGGGTTCAACTGTAGAATGGAGAAGAGAGGACAGGGGAAAGAATCAGGGAGAAGGCAGAACAGTAGAAATTACCCACTCTGGAAATAAAGCCAAAACAAAAGAAAATAGACTGAAAAAATGAACAGAGCCTCATGGACATGTGAGGATTTTAACAGAAGATCTAACATTCATGTCATCAGAATCCCAGGAGAGTAGACAGAAGGCAAGACTGAAGGAGAACTCAAAGAGACAATGGCTGAAAACTTCTCAAACTGGCAGAGGACATAAATGCTCAGATTGAAGAAGTTGAAAACAAACAGGACATACCCAGAGAAATCCATTCCAAGTGCATCATAGTCAAGCTTATTAAAACTAAAAACAAAACAAAATAAAACCTTGAAAGTAGTCAAAGAGAAACATTGCCTTTAGGGGAAAAACATCCAAAAGACAAAAATTACCAACATCAGAAGGGAAACACAGAACATCATTACGGATCCTGCAGATATCAAAAAGATAATAAGGGGACATTATGAATAGCTCTAAACACATACATTGGATAACTTAGATGAAATGGACAAATCCTTGAAAAGTAGAAATTACCACAACTTAATAGGAAATACATAATTTGAATAACCTTTTAACTATTAAGAAAATTCAATTCATAATTTTAAACTTCCCCCAAAAATAAATTTACAGATCCAGATGGCTTCACTGGATAATTCTACCTAACATTTAAAGAATTAATACCAATTCTACATAGTCTCTTCTAGAAAATAGAAGAGGGAACATTTTTTAACACTTTCATCAAGGCTGTATTACCCTAACACCAAAACCAAAGACAGTGTTAAAAAAAGTATGGACCAATGCCCATTACGAATGTGGATGCAAAAATTCTTTACAAAATATTACCAAGTACAATTCTGCTATATGTAAAAGGAATTCTAAGCCATGACCAAGTGGAGTTTATTCCAGAGATGCAAAGTTGGTTCGGTTTCAATCATCAATCAGTGTAATCCTCTTTACTAATAAACTAAAAAAGAGAAGTTACCTTATCATATCAACTGATACAGAAAAAAATTGACAAAATTCAATACCATGTTTCTCAAAAACTCTTAGAAAATTAAGAATAGGAGGGAACTTTCTCAATTGGATAAAGAATATTGACAGAAACCTACAACTAACATCATTCTTGATGTTGAAGACTGTTTTCCGCTAAGATCAGGAACGAGGCAAGAATGTCCACTCTCAATATAATGCTGCAAGTTCTACTCAAGAGCAACTATAATATCATTGTATTTAAAAAATACTATTCAATATATTTAATATATTGCTGGAAATTCTGGCCAATGCAAGAAGGCAAGGAAATGAAATAAAAGGCACACAGATATGAAAGAAATAAACTGTCTCTATTTGTAGATCACATGACAATCTATACAGAAAATCCATAAAAGAAATGATTTATGAAAGAAAAATTGGTAAACTGGACCTCACCAAGAGTAAAAACTTTTCTCTGAGAAATATCTAAGACAGTGATTCTAAAAAAACAAGCTACAGACTGAGAGAAATATTTACAAATCACTTATCTGACAAAGGACTCCATAGCTAGAATACATAAAGAACTCTCAAAACTCAACATTAAAAAGCAAACAATCCAAATAGAAAATTTATGAGATATGTGAAGAGACATTTCACTGAGGAAGATACACAGATGTCAAATAAGCACATGAAAAGATGTTTAACATCATTAGCCATTAGGAAAATAAAAATTAGAGCAATGATAAGATGTCATTACACAGCTTTATGAACAGCAAAAATAAAAAATAGTGACAGTATCAAATTCAGATTGGGATGCAGAGAAGGGGTATCTCTAATGTGTTACCACCAACAATGTAACATGGTACAATCATGCTGGAAAATAGTTTGTCAGTTTCTTTAAAAAACTAAAAATACACTTATGAACCAGCAATTGAACTCCTGAACATTTAGTCTAGAGAGAGGAAACTTACATGCACACAAAAACTTGCTCATGATGTTTCATACAAACTTTATTTGTAATGACCCAAAACTGGATACAACCAAAGACTCTCAGTAAGTGAATACTTAAACATACATGGAGTACTACTAAGCTATACAAAGGCGCTCTCCTGAAACATGCAACAACTCGGATGGATCTCAGGACATTATGCTGAGTTAAAAAAAAAAAAAAAGCCAATCTCAAAAGATCGTATTTTCTATTCTCTATGATTCCATTTAAGTAACATTCTCAAAATGACAAAATTATAGAGGTGGAAAGAGATTAGTGTTTGTCAGGGGTTAGAGATGGTGAAGAGGAAGAGGATGAGTGAGACTAACATGGGTACGTGGCATGACAGAGACCTTTGTGGTGATGGAACAGGTTTGTATCTTGATTGTGGTGGTGGCTACTCAAGTCTACACCTGTGACAAAATGCAGAACATATACACACATTGTACTAACGTCAAGTATCTTGCTACAATTATGTAAGATGTTGCCATTGGGGGAAACTGGATGAAGGATACTAGGGTCCTCTCAATACTATCTTTGTAACTTCCCATGAATCTCTGATTATTTCAGAGCAAAAAGTTAAAAAATAACCGAAGTATAAGTCCACTTTTACAGCACTTAAAAACTGGTAATAGTTAATCTACGATGTCAGAAGTCAGTATAGTGGTTCCTCACCATAGGGCAGTGACTAGAAGGAACAAAGGGGGCTTCTGGGCACAGGTGATGTCCTGGTCTTTGGACTGAGGCCAGTTACATGGGTGTATTCAAATGCCTTGCATGAAACTGAACACTTAAAATATTTGCACTTTTCTGCAGGTGTGCAGGTGTGTTATATTGATGATTAAAAGGTCATAATGAATTAAGTGAAAAAAGCATTCAGTTGTATATGAGATTACCTGTGAGTACTATAAACAAATATGTTCTGGAAGGTGTCCTTTGCAGAGGGCAATTGGGAGGTAAAGACAGAGAGAGATGCCTACTTCTTGCTTTATACTTTTCTGTGCTGTTGGAATTTTTTTAAAATGCTCACTATGGAGACTCCAGCCAGAAAGCCAGCTTTGACCTTTCCCACTGTCTGGGTCCCTCTTGGCCTTGGGCTGGCTCCTATGACATCACTTACCACTGCTAGAGGATGGGGCTTTTAAGCTTCTAACCGACCTAATCTAGACAGCTGTTAGTTGTGTGCAGTGAAGCATTTAATCAATCACTGTGGCTTTTCTCCATAATGCAAATGCTTTCCTGGAATGACAGGGCTACTGGGCCTCACCTTCGGCAGAGTGGCAGGTGGGTGGGCTTTTCTTTCTGATCGTATTGAATATATGAGTCTACTGTCCTTCACCTGATCCCAGCCCCTTAGACTGTTCCTCTCCTCACTTGTCAGACATAGATCCCACTGCCAGCCCATTCACTCCACTTACAGAACCTGAGCCTTCCTCCAAGTCCCATGTTTCCAGGAAGTCTTGAATGCAACAGAGACTCTTAGGCTTTAGAGCTAGACACCCCAGTTCAAACCCTGAGCAGTTCTGCTGATGATAAACTCCCTAACCATGGGCAAGCTTTTATTTACTCTTCTGTAACATAGAAATACAGGCACATTCCTGGCATGACTGTTGGGAGGATTGAATGTAGCCATGTGAATAAAGTACTCAGTCCAGAATCTGTCACATGATGAGAGCTTTGATAAATGTCCATTCCCTTTCCTGGGGGCTCCATTTACCCATTCCTACCCAACGCATCTAAAATGATCTCCAAACACACTTGTGTTATAAACTATTCAGCAAGTCAAATGTGCTTGTTGGGGGCTGTTTATGCATACTCCCTCCTCAAATTAATTGTAAATCTGTGGAGACCAGAAATGGCCCCTGACATCCTCAGTGCACCGTCCCACCTCTCACACACAGTAGATCCTCAATAAGTGTTGATGGAGGCACTGGCCATCCCATTCCAATAGGGGCTCCCCATCTACCCGCTTGAACACACTGATGTTCAAGCCCATAGGAGACAACCAGATGCCAAAGGACTTGACATTTCAGAAATGCAATCAAACACTTAACATGCCAATCTAGCAGCCATCTGAGTATCCTTTTCTCAGACCCAGAGAGCTCTTGATAAGTCAAGACCACTTTTACACTGGTCTATGATAGCCACTTACTAGCTATGTGGTGTCAGGCAAGCTCTGAAACCTCTCTGAACCTCCACATCCTTGTTGATGTATTAATACATGGCCTGCCACATAGGACCTTTACATACCGGAAGGACTGGAAATGAGCAGGAACTCAGGTTTGGGTCCAGTTTCCACCATATCCTTTCCTTCCTCTGGGCCACCAAGTCAAGAGTCCCTCTGCATGCTGCTGGAGGATCTTTGTCCCTGGATCAGATCTGTGAAGTCCCCTGGTCTGTCACATTCCATTTATGAATAGATTGCAGAATGGTTCCTCAGAGACCCTGGTTGCCTTCCCTCTTCCCAGGACTGACTCAACATGTCCCAAGTGGTTACTGAGCTCTGGCTCTATGCCAGAAGGGGCTATGCGCACCATCCCCTTCCTCATGAAGCAGGTAGTCGAGAGCAGCAAATGAGAGCCACATGTATAATATCATATTTTCTAGTAGCCACATTAAAGCAGTAAACAAGCACACACCTATAATCTCAGGTACTCTGGTTGGAGGATCACTTGAGCCCAGAAGGTCGAGACCAGCCCTAGCAACATAGCAAGATCTGGTCTCTACAAAAAAAAAAAAAAAAATTAGCCGGTGTGGTGGCACATGCCTGCAGTCCCAGCTACTCAGGAAGCTGAGGCAGGAGGATCACTTTAGTCTGGGAGGTCAAGGCTGCAGTGAACAAGCCTGGGTAACAGAGAGAGACCCTGGCAAAAAAAAAAAAAAAAAAAGCAAACAGAAACAAACAAATAAAATGTTAATATTATTTTTATTTAACATGAATATATTAAAATAATTGTTTCAACATGTAATCAACATAAATTATTCATAAGCTAGCTTACCCCTTCTGTACTAAGTCTTTGAATTCACATGTGATTTTATACTCTCCACCTCTCACTTCTGAGGAGCCACATTTCAAGTGCTGCCCAGTCACACTTGGCAGGTGCTGCCCTTCTGGACAACACAACTCCAGCCCTGCCCCGGGACCTGGTGAAGCATTTAACGTCAGTTCTCGTGGCAGTTCCTAATAGAGCCAATCTCACTGGAGCCCTGTTCTGTTTTGGCCAGGGCCAGCTTCTGAGCATCCCAGCGGCCTATGGGGATCTGGAGATGGTCCGCTATCTACTCAGCGAGAGACTGGTGGAGCTGCCCACCGAGCCCATGGATGACAACCCAGCCGTGGTAGCAGCGTATTTTGGGCACACGGCCATTGTGCAGGAATTGCTTGAGTCCTTACCAGGTAAATCACAGGGCATGAGCTCTTAACCATGTCTCAGGGCACCTCTTCTTAGGCATCACCCCAAAATGATTACTTCTTCATGCTTTCACCAATAATGAGATCAAGAAATCCAGGGCAGGCCACTGACACCCAAACAAAGTGAAGCTTGCCTGCTAGCCACATCCCACCTCTCACTCCCATGAACTCATAAGAGAAAGTCTCAAACACCATATTTCATAAAGAATGTAATTAACATTGCTTTTTAAAAAAATAATTAATAGACCTTGGTCTTTTTAGAGAAGTTTTAGATTTATGGAAAAAATTGATTGGAGTGTATAGAGTTCCAGAATTAATGATTTGAAGGTATGTTAACAGAAAACAGGTGATCCCTAATTCACTTACACAAGAATGTCTAGGTAAGAGAGACAGAATAATCATACTAGTAACTTGTATTGAGATGGGGATGCAGCAGTCTTAGGAGGCAGGTGCTATATTTCAGGGCCATGGTTTTAAAATGAGGAAACCAAAGCTCAGAGAAGTGAGCTCCACCGTACTCCCTCCACATGGTTTTCCCTATAACTCTGTTTTGCATTAGTGTGGTACATTTGCGATAATTGATCAACTAATATTGATACCTTCTTATTAACTAACGTCCATCGCTTACATTGCAATTCATTCTTGCTGTTGTAGATCCCATTGGTTTTGACAAATGGATAATGACACGTATCCATCAGTACAGTATTACACAGAACAGTTTCACTGCCCTAAAAATCCTCTGTGCTCCACCCCTCCCCTGGCCCCATCCCTCCCTCCCTCCCTCCCCTGGCCCCTGGCAACTACTGATCTTTTTTAGTATCTTTGCCTTTTCCAGAACATCGCTTTAGTTGGAATCCCACAGTATGTAGCCATTTCAAACTCACTTCTTTCCCATAGCAATATGCATTTAAGGTTTCTCCATGCCTGTTTGTGACTTGATAGCTGAATAATATTCCATTGTATTTGTGTACCACACTATGTTGCTTTTATGGGAACTATTTTTTTCTTTGGTGAACTCAAGATGTCCTGGTCTCCTGTAATTTCCCGTGGTGGTCTTAGCTCAGAAACACTGCACCAGTCTAGGCAGGCATCGCTACAGTTATAGGTTGAGGCACACCCTAGCAGTGGTCTTTGGGAGTTAGGATTTTCTTGGGAGCCAGGGCCCACCTCTTGGGTGGGAGAACATGCAGTCGCCCAGGGCCCTGCACCTAGAAGGGCCCACGTTTTGTTTAATACTCTGTACTCACTATCTTAAAATGTTCCATGATTTTTAAACAAGAGGCCCCATTCTTTTCATTCTGCATTGGGCCTCACCCCTTTTATAGCAGCCTGTTTGAGAGTTTCCAGCTGTGTGCTTTGGTAGATCTGTGCTCAGAGCTGGTTCCAAGCTGGTGTTCCCCTTATATGTCTGAAGGCAGAATGACATTATGGGCAGAAATCAGGGCAATTTTAGGGCCCATGAGAAGACTAAGACAAGACATAGGAGGGCAGAGAGGAGCTTGGGTGCCCCTAAGGAGCCAAAGGCTGACCTGCCTCTTTTCAGGGAGCCCCAAGATTAGCTCTGTTCTAGCCCTGAAGAGTGTATGCCAGCTGACTCAGTCACCTAATGTTAGCTAATATTTATTGAATACTGCCAAGTGCTGAGCACTTTGTAGAACTTGAGAGACACAGAGAATTTTTTTAAAGATTTTCCCAGCCTTTTAGTACCTCCTGGCCAAGCAGGGGAAATTAAGGCAGAAAGGAGTAACGTTGTGCAATGTAATTATGCTGAGGTTGAAGTATTTTTACGCAGAGGTCTGGGAGCACACCAGGGGGCAGGTTTGTCTGGATGCAGGATGGGGTCTCCCAAGGGAGGCTGACATCTGACTTGGGCTTTGCAGAGTGAATAGGAGTTTACTTGGCAGACAAGTGAGGGAAGGACTTGGGCTGCCTGCTTTTGCAGAACAGGAAGCATGGCTGAACCTCATCATGGTTTTCAACTGCTCCCAGGAGCATCCTGTCTTCAGCTCAACTCTGAGCAGAGCTGCTGAGGACTGAAGGATTTCAGACCATTGTGGTGGACTTTGCAGAAAGTGCAGAGATGGGAAAAACAGTGTATACCATCCCTGCACTTCCTGCAAAGGAGTTCCCAAGCTGGAAGGGAAGTCAGCCATGGTCAGGAGTAAGTTAAGACAAGAAGACAAACAAGAGTCAGGCCGGACATGGTGGCTCATGCCTGTAATCCCAACACATTGGGAGGCCAAGGCAAGAAGATCACTTGAGCCCAGGAGTTCATGACCAGCCTGAGTAACATAGTGAGACCCTGTCTCTACAAAAAAAAAAAAAAAATCTAAATTAACCAGGCATGGTGGCACATGCCTATATTCCCAGGTACTCGGGAGGCTGAAGTTGGAGAATGACTTGAGCCCAGGAGTCCGAGGCTGCAGTCAGCTATGATCACATTACTATTCCCCAGGCTGAGATAGAAGGAGACCCTCTCTCAAACAAAAAGCAAAAACAAGCAGCAGCTAGAGAACAAAGGAGGGTTTGAGAAGAAGAGGGATGAGAGGTTGATGGGATTTATTCTTTGAAGCATGTTGTTAAGTGATTGCTGGTCTCTGAAGCTGAGCAGGGAGGAAGAGGGGCTCCTCTGAGTGTCATTGGCCTTAGGCTGTAGATAATACCTGTAGGGGTTTTGTGTGGTTAAGAGAGCACCTTTTGATTTTAGACAAAGCAAGGTTTAAGTCTTGACCTTGTTATTTACCAACTATGGGACCTTCAGGAAGTTTCCCTGCTGGGTATGTCCCGCAGACCCTGGCTGATGGATGAAATGAGTGCTCAGACACAGGTATACAGTATAGAGCAGCTGGGTGACTGCCTGGCTCTAGTGGCCAGAGAGCAGCCTGGAGAAGCTAGAGCTGCTTGCTTTTATTCAATGCAGGCACAATGCCGAAAACGTGGAGCGAGCACAACCTGTATGTAATTAACATTTATTGTTCCCCTTTCAGGGAATGGCAAGTCAGCAGATGATCAAAGGTCAGTTCCTGGTCACCATAAGTAAATAAGCCTGTTTAAGCTACATTTCCCTACACTCCTTGCCCTCTGCCTTCAGCTATTTTCCCCCAGGGCTCTGCAGAACCTTCTGAACTTTCAGAAGGTTTGCGTCCTTTCACTGTAGTTTTTCCCACCACTCTGACCAATCTCCTACATTTCCAAGCCTCCTCTCTGAGTTTTGGTTTCCTCATCTTAAAATCATGGTCCTGAAATACAATGCCTGCCTCCAAAGACTGACACATCCCCATCTCAACAGAAGTTACTAGCATGGTTACTGTGTTACTCTTACCTAGATATTCTTGTGTAAGTGAATTAGGGGTCACTTATTTTCTGTTAACATACCTACAAATAATTAATTCTGGTTAACAGTAGAGGGAGAAGAAGGGATATTTATTTGGCACTGGCTCCAGCCTCAGTCCTATGCTACATGTTTTTTTTGGTGAATAACAGGGCCGTCCTGACCCTGCTTTCATTCACGTCCTGTCATGAAGGAGAGGGTCACTCTCTCCTCACTTGGGAGCACTTTGATCCCTAAGACTATGTGCCTCTGGAAATGAGACAGTGTTATGATGCATTTGGGAAATGTCCATGCAGAAGATGAGGTCATTTTTCCATGGCAACTAGACCCAGAAGATATTGCACTATTTTGAACTTGAAGATATTGTAACATTTCAGCCCACACTGTCCCTGTTAACTCAATGTGCTAAGTGTTATTTCATCCTGGAATTAAGTAGGCAGTTCTATTGGGGAGAAATTCTCAGTTTTAGGCCTGACAGATCCATTTCTTTCACCAAAGCTTTTATCATTATTATTATTCATGAAAGTAATATATGTATATTATAGATAATTTTAAAATGTGGGAAAGTGTTAGTACTCTAATAATACAATGACACAAAATAATGAGTTAGGATTTATTGATCCAGGCGCTTGACACACATTTTGTGATGTAGTCCTCACATTAAACTTGGGAGGATGAGTATTATTATTCCAATTTTACCAACAGCCAAACTAAGAGAGAGATTAAGAAATGTGTCCAAAATTGCATAGCTAAATTATTTTAACTCTAAAATGCCTGTCTCCAAAGTTCATACTCCTGCATGTAATGTTACTCTAGGGGAGGGGTGAGGGCAGGGGAGAGCCCAGAGATAATACCACAACACTGGGGTAGTTCTTTCTAGTCTTATTTCCACACATTCATTTTTTATTTGGCTAAGATCAAGCTGGATATGCCATTTTTAATCCTACATTTCATTGCTTGGCATTTTCTGACAAGCAGGTGGGGGAATGAAGTGTGGAAATGTCATATGCAATTCAGAGGGGCTATTCCAGAAAACACTATCAACTCAACAGAAGCAACTTTCAGCTGGAAACAGGACAGCTGGATTTTTTTTTTTAACTTTTACTTTAGGTTCAGGGGTACGTGTGCAGGTTTGTTACATGGGTAAATTGCATGTTGCTGGGGTTTGGTATGCAGATTATTTTGTCACCTGGGTAATAAGCATAGTACCCAATAGGTAGTTTTTTAATCTTCACCCTTTTTCCTCCTTCTACCCTCAAGTAGTTCCCAGTGTCTGTTGTTCCCTTCTTTGTGTCCATGTTCATTCAATGTTTAGCTTCCCCTTATAAGTGATAACATGCAGTATTTGGTTTTCTGTTCCTGTGTTAGTTCACTTAGGATAATCACCTCCAACTCCATCCATGTTGCTGCAAAGGACATGATCTCATTCTTTTTTATGGCTGTATAGTATTCCATGGTGCAAATGTACCACATTTTATTTGACCAGTCCATTGTTACTAATGATCTAAGAGAAGAGCAGAGTGGGAGCAAGTAGCACCCTTCAGTGGTACTTTCCCTTTGTCCTGCCATCTCCTGCCAGGTCCCTGCAGTCCCCAGCGGCTGCTGAACTGGATGCTGGCCTTGGCTTGCCAACAAGGGCACCTCGGGGTTGTGAAGCTCCTGGTCCTGACGCACGGGGCTGACCCAGAGAGCTACGCTGTCAGGAAGAATGAGTTCCCAGTCATCGTGCGCTTGCCCCTGTATGCGGCCATCAAGTCAGGTGGGTTTCCCCACTACCCCGAGTCAACCCTGACCATGCAAACCATCTCAGCCTCCAGATGTGGGACTGTGTCTTTATTCTCACTCTTGGCTCTCAAATTACCTCTGTGAGGAGACTTTTGCAATTCCTGTTCTGTGTTTCTTTTTCAAAATATCTGCACCCTTCCTCATTTCCCCCTTACTTGCCCCCACAAGGGAATTTCAGTGACAGAGACTGACTGTGTTTAATGGGACTGTTGTATGAGGCACTCCAAAGGGCAAAGCCCCACAGAAATTCTCCTACTAACGGGAACTTGATGCATCAAGAGAATTAAATAGAGAAGTCCAACCAGCACAAGTACCTTTTCAGTTTCCATTCCACATATCAGAGTCTGCCCTTCCAACAACTATGACACTTTCTGTGCCTGCATGCCTTTAGCTTTCTGGTTTTGTTCCTTTAGGGAATGAAGACATTGCAATATTCCTGCTTCGGCATGGGGCCTATTTCTGTTCCTACATCTTACTGGATAGTCCTGACCCCAGCAAACATCTGCTGAGAAAGTATTTCATTGAAGCCAGTGCCTTGCCCAGCAGTTATCCGGGAAAAACAGTGAGTAGTCACTGCCTGTGGAGTGTATTTATTTCCTTTTGTATTGCTGTAACAGAATCCCACCGACTGGATAATTTATAATAAACAGAAATATATTTGGCTTACAGTTCTGGAGACTGAGAAGTCCAAGAGCATAGTGCTGGTGTCTGGTGAGGGCCTTTATGCTGTGGTATCCCATGGCAAAAGTGCTGGTATCTGGTGAGGGCCTTCATACAGTCGTATCCCATGACAGAAGGTGAAGAGCAAGAGACCAACAGACTGAGAGGGAAGAACTCACTTTTATACCAACCCACCCTCCAAATAACATAACAACATTAATCCATTTATGACGGTGGGGCCTTCTTGGCCTAATCGCCTCTTAATGGTCCCACCCCTTAATATCTTCACAACAGCAATTACATTTCATCATGAGTTTTGAAGGGGACATCTGGGCTTCATCCCCCTCCCAAAGTTTTTTTGTTTGTTTTTGTTTTTGTTTTCGTGATTTTTTCAAAAATTGATTAAAGATATCATATTTAACATATTTCTTTTTTAAATTTTTAGGTGTTAAATTTTAAAATAACTAAAGTTATATATGATTGTTATAACAAGTGATCACAATTGAGAGTGGTAATAAAAATTATGAATCTTCTGCCCTTGAAGTAAATAATTTAACAACCTGGTGTGGATCTTTTTCAATCCTTTATATGCAATGTATACAAACATTTATAAGCTATATAGGTTTTAGTTTTAATTTCTCCCATTTTGATACCAAAAATGGTTTGATTATTTCTATTATCTTCAACTTGGGCTTTATTAAAATTGGTAGTTCTCTATCATAAACTTCTTAGATTCAGTTAGTGTAGCTACAACTCATTCTTTAGGGGTACATTTCTTTTAAATACATAGAGCAATGTGCTTAGTTGGACATAGTCTCCCTCTAATTGGTGAAACTTTGAATATTTCTTTTTTTTTTTTTTCCTCTTGCGATATTAGGTTATTTGTTGGTATGGTTTGCTATGATGAGGCACAGTTCTAAAGTGGATGTGCTTTGGAACACTGCCAAAACATTCTGGTGGACTTAGCACTTTCACACAACACTATGGGCACTTCTCTGTCTCCACACTCAGCCAGGCAGTAGGCATCCTGGAGCCTATTAATTTTCATCAGCTGTGATAGGCAAAAATATCACCTTACTTTTATCTTCATGTTATAGTATTTAATCTGCTTCCCTTTATGTGAATGTTCTGTTAATGTTGGTTGATTATTTTTTCTAAAGGATTGTTTGTCTTTTTTTCTTTCTCACTTTGGAGGGTTTTTTTTTTTTTTTTTTTTTTTTTTTGAACATTAGAGATTTTTAAGACTTTGTTTATCATAAATGTTGCCAATATTTTTCCCAATCCATTATTTTTCTTTTTTTGTTATCTTTTGTGATAGCAAAGATAAAATAATACATAATTCAATATGTTCATCTTTTCCTTTCTGGTATGTGGTTATGCAAGAAGGCCACTTTCTCTCTAATTTTATTTCACTATTCTCCTGGAGTTCCTTGTAATGTTTTCATTCATTTAGTTTTTACATTTTAAGCTTTAACCTTTGTGGTATTTATTTGTGTGTATTGTATGAGGGAAGTGGCAGAGGGTGGAGGTGGCTAACTTTTATCTCTTCCAGATAACCAGTTACTCTAGCACAATTTTTAAAATAAAGTTTTCTTTTTCCTGTGAATTGAAATGTCACCATTGGCATTTTCCCCAGTACCTATATCTGTATACATTTTGGGATTCTCAGTACTGGTTCACTGGCCTATTAATCTGTTTCTGGCAAATGTCATATTGTTTTGATTATAGGCACTGCATTTAAGTCTTACAATCTGTTAATGCAAGTTTTCTGTTCATTTGTTTTTTCCAAAGATATCTTGACTGGACTATTATCAGACATTTGTTTTTCTATTTTGCTCATTTCCCATAGTGACTCTATTTTGTAGCTTTTATGTTCTTTGGTGAGATTTTTTTCCTTTCTTCCTAAAAGTCCTGGACCTGTCTTGTCTATTTGTGACTTTTTTATTGTTTTTGCTACCATATTAATGAACTATCTATATATTTATGTAACTCTTTTCCATTTCTATTCCAACCTGATAATACTGGTATGGAGAAAAGTTGTTTTGTTTATTTCTATTTTATCCAATTCCTTTTCCATATTCTCTTGTTCACTCTAATGTAGTTTTTACTAGAATTCCTTAATACTTTTGGATATATGATCACATATTCTGCAATTTCAAAACAAGTTTATCTCTTCTAATATTTATACAACTTATTATTCCATATCTTATTGTGTATCTTTAGCAATTTCAAAAGTTGAATAATCGTGATTCTAGCAGTTATATCTATCTTATTCCTGATTTTAAAGGTCTTGGTGTCACTAGTTTATGAGCATTTGCTCTAGACAGTTAGTAAATAGGTTCTTGTTATATTTAGGTAGTTTCCATGTATTCATTTTTGCTTTGAGTTTTTATTAGGAAACATTGCTGAATTTTTCAAATCCCTTTTTGCAGCAATTAGTGTATTCATATAGCTTTTCTACTTTAATTTATTAATTGAATAAATGATTATGATAGATGTTGACTCAACCTTGAATTCCTACTATAAATGCTGATTGTCTTTTTTTAACTGCTGGATTTGATCTGTTGATATTTTATTTACAGTTTCTGCATCTGTGTTTACAGGTGAATTGATCTATAATTTTCTATTTTTAATGTTTTTATGTGGTTTTATATAAGACAATGCTAGCTTTACAAAATAACCTGGGGAACTTCCCATCTTATTATTGTCTGGAGAAGTCTCATAGGAATTATTTATTGTTAATGGTTAATTAGATAAAGTAGATCTTTATTTTCTGATTGCTTTTGAAGTCATTTGTCAATTCACATTGTCTGCTTTCCCTTATGTGCAAATCAGGAAATTATATTTTGGTAGAAAATTATCCATTTCCTTTAGGTTTTTTAATTTGCCATCATAATGTTGCATTGACATTTTTCTTATTCTTTTCTTCTATATCTATACTTATATTACTCTTTTCATTTATGCTGTTGAACAATTTTACTTTTTCTCTTTCAAACTTAATCAAATCAGCCAGAGATTTATGTTAAAACACAAGGAACTGTCAAGGAACGTGATAGATTTTTTTAATTACTTGCTTTATTTGTTATTTCATTAATTTTCACTTCTGTCTGTATTAAAACCTTCTTCATATGGTTGTTTTGGGGTTTTTTGTTTTTGTTTATTTTTGTTTTTGTTCTTTGAGATGGAGTTTCGCTCTTGTCACCCAGGCTGGCGTGCAATGGCATGGTCTCAGCTCACTGTAACCTCCGTCTCCCAGGTCCAAGCAATTCCCCTGCCCCATACCTGGCTTCTGGCTTTATGACTCATTGATACGTATTTTGGTTATATCAAATGGCCACCTTAATCCTGTTGATGTCTCTATCCTTGAAATTGAGTTTGTTTTCTCTTCACGTGGCCACTTTGCCCTCTTTTTATTTGTGTCAACCTTGCATAAGTTTTCCCAGATATTTATGTTCAGGTTTTTGTCTGTCTCTTTACCGTAGGTATATTTCTTGTAAACAGCATTTGGGTTTTAATCTCATCTGAGTGTGTTGCTTTTGAAAGAGGAATCCACCCACTTCATATCTGTGTAGAACCTGTCCTATTAGTATATATTTTTCCATCTCTTTAATTTATTACTATTTCCTTTTTGTCCTTCCCTTATTCCTGCTGGTTTCCTAGTTTCTAAAGAATACTGATATTGTACTTTCTGTATATTTCTACCTTTCATTCCTTGGTTGGTTTTCTCAGTTATAAAACAGGGTTAACAATAGTCCTCACCATGGAGGGCAGCTGTGCACTTAGCACAGGCCCTGGCATATAATAAGTGCTCAATAAATATTAGTTATATTGCTCTTAGCCTCACATCACCAAAGGAAATAATGATCATCTAACCCTTATATCTATGTAGTGCTTGTTATTTTTCCAAGCACTTTCTTATCTTATTAGGTCCTCATAAGACCTCAGTAAGAACTGCAGGGAATAGTGTCTGTTTTACAGATGAAATTATTGAGGTACAAAGACATTATGTTATTTGTCCAAGGATGACAAATACTAAACAGTATTGATGCTTAGACTCCCGAACGCAGGGCTTTCCCCAGTTCTCAGTTCCTGAACTATACCGCCTAGGTTTCACATAGACTAATGATTCTCTGCACATCAGAATCCCTGGGAACTTTTAAAAATCTGGATGCTCAGACCACATCCTACACTGATTAAATCCGAATCTGTGGGGTGACACCTGGCATGAGGAGTTTTAAAATTCTCCAGATGATTCCAATGTGCACCCAAGGTCAAGAGCCTGTGACTCTGATTTTCTTGGTGTAAGGGTAAAAGCAGAAACGGCTGTTGTCTTCTACCTGTGATCTTTTCTGTGAGGTAACTCTTCTTACACATGCCAAGGTTGGCATAGAGCATGGAGGAAGTGATTACTGCATTTTGTGAATGAAAAGACAAGGGAAAGGCAATGTTGCTTTTCCTCTCATTGGCTCTGTTGCGTGGAATCAGAAGAGGAAATGAAATTTCAGCACAACCTGAGTCACAAGGACCCCTTGAGCTTCCCCAAAGCAGATGGTATTTTTAGCATTCAAGTGAATTTCAAAAGCAAGTACTTTGGAGTGGGTGTACCTGGCTGCCCCATCATCTCCAACCTGCAACAGCACATTCCTTCTGTGCTGCTGGCAGAAGAGAGGAGAGAGGGGTCCAGGCAGAGGGTTCCAGCAGTCAGGAAGGATGACTCAGGAGCCAGAGGTAAGTGCTCCTACCTTCCTAGGTATCCAGTGGGATTAAACTGAGAGTTTGGGTTGGTTCAGAATATTACACAAGGGTAGGCATTAAAAGGGTGCTTCACTGACATGATACATGGCCTGAAAACTCCTTTGGCACTGCTGGCACTCATGGCTGTGACCTTGTTGAAGTAACAAT